GGGATATAGTTTCTTTTTGTTCTTTATTTTTGACAGAGTAGAATTCTTTTCTAAACAATTCTTTATTTATTTCAAAAGAGTCAATTTCTTCTTCTATAAATATGGCATTAACAAATGATTTATTACCATTCACAGGATAATCAATCCCTATTTGTTGTATTTGTTTTCCTATTATTATTGGAAGTGGATCCTTCAGAAGTTGTCTGTTTTAATGAGTTTCTAGGTTGTGCTTCAAGTCTCAAAGGTGCCTCTTGAAAAGTACGTTCCACCTCACCTCTTGGTAATTCTTTAATAAGCACTATTTCAGTTATTTGGAAGTGTCCGTCACCTCCATGTAGGGTGACGGGTAACAGCTTCCAATTTTCTAGGAGTCTTACGTCTTCTCGTTTAATTTGTTTTGGAATTATAGTTTTATTATGAATATTCGACTCAAATAGAATCATAAAACCTCTTGTGTTAATATGTTTATTATTAAGATTAAGTGTATTAAGTATTTTATACTATATTTTATATACTAAATTTTGGATAACATCTAATTTTCTGGGAGTCTTACTTCTTCTCATTTAATTTTTTTTTGAATTATAGTTTTATTATGAATATTTGACTCAAATAGAATCGTAAAACCTCTTGTGTTAATATATTTATTATTAAGATTAAGTGTATTAAGTACTCGATAATATATTTTATATATATTATAACTAAAACTTGAGATCCAGCTATCATTGGGTTCTTATCATTAAGGTATATATTAAATTTTAAGTTTTAAATAGAGAAAGTATATTAAAATTTTAGAGAGAGAAGCTATATCGAATTTCAGAGCAAAAAACTACCTGAAATTTTTTGGATAGAGAAACTATTTCAAAAATTTTTAGAAATTAATTATATCAAATTGGAAGTTTTAGAGATAAAGTATTTTACAATTTTATAGAGAGAAACTACATAAAATTCTTGAGAGAGTAATTATCTGAAAATCTTTGGAGAGAGAAATTATCTCAAAAATTTTAAAGAGAGAAACTATCTCGTATTTTAGGTTTTAGAGAGAGAAAATATCTTAAAATTTTAGTGAGAGAAACTATGTCAAATTTTAGATAGGGAAACTACCTAAATATTTTTAAAGCGAAAGTATCTCAAAATTTTTAGAGAGAAAAATTATCTCAACTTTCAAAGTTTTAGGGAGAGAAAGTATTTTACAATTTTAAAAAGGGAAACTAAATCAAAATTTAGAAAGAGAAACTACCAAAAATGTTTAGAGAGAAACTAACTCAAAATTTCAAGTTTTAGAGAAAGAAAGTAGAAATGTTTAGGAAGAAACTATCTCAAAATTTCAAGTTTTAGAGATAGAAAGTATCATAAATTTTACAAAGAGAACCTATATAAAATTTTAGAGAGAAACTACCCAAAACATTTAGAGTGAGAAAATATCTTAAATTTTTTAGAGAGAGAAAGCATATAAAACTTTTAGAGGGAGAAACTATCTCAATATTTGATTTTAGAGAGTTATCTCAAATTTTAGTTTTTAGAGAGAGAGAGTATCTTAATATTTTAGCGAGAGAAACTACATCAAATTTTAGAGGGAGAAATTGCCTAAAATTTAGAGAGAAACCATCTCAAAATTTTAAAAGAGATAAACTTTATCAATTTTTATGTTTTAGAGAGGGAAACTATATCAATATTTAGAGAGAAACGATTTGGATTGTTTTAGAGAGGGAAACAATCTCAAAAATTTTAGATATAGTAACTATATTAAATTACAATTTTTAGAGAGAGAAAGTATCTTAAAATCTTAGATAGTGAAACTATATTAAATTTCAGAGTGAAATTTCCTAAAATTTTTAGGGAGAAAAACTATTTCAAATTTTAATGTTTAAAGAGGGAAACTATCTCAAAATTTTTAGATAGAGAAACTATATCACATTTTAATTTTCTAGAGAGTAAAACTATCTCAAATTTTTGGAAAGGGAAACTATCTCAAAATTTCATGTTTGATGTATTCTCTCAATCTTTTGGAGAGACAAACTATCTCAAAATTTTGCGAGAGAGAAACTATATCAATTTTTAACTTTTTTAGAGAGAAAAACTATCTCAAAATTTTTAGAGAGATAAGCTATCTCAAAATTTCAAATTTGATGTGTTATCTCTATTAACCTGGTTCCAATTGTGTTTGGCAAACATGGGAAAAAGCATGCTTAGTATTCTTTTCATTTAAACTATTTACCTGTGTAAATATTTTCCTGTCAAACTTTTACATGTACCAAACGACCCCTTATAGCAAACTACGTTATACAAAAAGATGATCCAAACATAAGATTTGCGTAACCTGGGTACCATTCAAAGCCATCCAAACAAGTCATGCTTGAGTAACCAGCTTTTAACGTAGGTTTGATAGAATAAGATTTTGATTCAAAAAATGCGTTTGTTAACGCGTGGAGCTAAACTAGGCATAAGTGCTCGTTTGAATCTTAGGGTATACAAAACCATTTTTGGATTAGGTCATCCAAATCCTGCTTATGTCAAGACGTGGTTATTGAGAAATGATAGTTTGGATAGCTTGTAGCAATCCCTGGTTTGAGTCATTTATTTGTGTAACCTGGGTTTACACTATTTAGGACACATTGGTAGGGGTATGAAAAACATTGGTAGGGGTATGAAAACATTTTCGTGCAAAATATTTTCAAGTGAAAATTATGATACACATTAGGTATGCAATAAATATATTTTTAAAAAATTCTCATTGAAAAAAATTTTACCAAAATTTTAAAGGGAGAAACTATACCAAATTTTAGAGAGAGAAAGTACCTAAAATATTTTAGCTAGAGAAACTATCTCAACATTTTTAGAGAGAAAGTTTATCTAAAACTTTAAATTTGATATAGTAAATTTTTTAGGTAATTTATCTCTAAAATTTGTTATAATTTCACTCTCTAAAGTTTTAAGATACTCTATCTGAAACTTGAAATTTGAAATAATTTCTCTCTCTAAAATTTTTGATATAGTTCCCTCTCTAAATGTTTTAGATTGTTTCTCTCTCCAAATTTTGATATAGTTTTTCTCTCTAAAACTGAAAATTTTAAATAGTTTCTCTCTAAAAATTTTAAAACAGTTTATTTCTAAAAAAATTTGGATAGTTTCTCTCTCTAAAATTTGATGTAATCTCTCTCTCTAAAATTTTAAGATACTATATCTCTCTAAAGCTTAAAATTTGAGATATTTTTTGATAAAAATTTTGAGATGGTTTCTCTCTCTAAAAATCTAGGTATTTTTCTCTCTAAAATTTTAAGATACTTTTTCTCTCTAAAACTTGAAATTTAATATAGTTTCTCTCTCTAAATATTTTGAGATAGTTTCTCTCAATAAAATCTTTTAGACAATCTTTCTCTCTAAAATTGATAGAGTTTCTATCTCTAAAATTTTAAGATACTTTCTTTCTCTAAAACTTGAAATTTTGTGATAGTTTTTCTCATTATAAATTTTCTGATATTTCTTACTCTAAAAAATTTTACCATCTCTCTCCCAATTCTTTATAAAAATTTATAACTCTTCCCCAATTATCTATACAAATTTTCTCTCGTCAGAAAGACCATGAGTCCCTCACTCAAAATGAACATACGTATGTGTGATTCTCTTATAGTTGTCTCTGAAGTGTGCAGGTTTTCCCTATCTAGAAAAACACGAGTTGTTTTTTGCCCAAACGGACATACGTGTCTCTCACGTAAAGACATCACGACATCAGTTATAATTGGGCAAAACCTTACCCAAATTGTCTATATAGTATATACAATTTCTCGCTCTCTAGATGATCATGCGCTAACGAGACGGGGCGAACAAACAAAACCGTGTTTTGGGTGACGCCTTTTTCATTTATGACTTTGCCAACCCGTGTTTTGGCGTGTTTTTATGGATGGGTACACAAAATGTGGTTTTGTGGCTAAAAAATGCCAAATGCGTTTTTTTCATAATAACATGGGTATACAAAACTATATTTTTGTTTACCAAAGGATCTAAATACTCTAAATATAGTTCGAAAAAGCACTAAAAGGACGACAAAAAAATAAAAAAAGGGGAAAAAACCCATATTTTGGGGAGGAAAAGTTGTTTCATCCCAAACTCTTTTAAAATTTTGAATGAGAACTTTAAACCGCTAGTTAGTGATTTAATTTTTTTATAAAAATTATAATCAATGAAAATATTCGTAACATGGAAATTCCACAAAAAATACTTAACATATGAAAAATTCGTGATAAACATGGAATAAATGACGAAGACTAATAATGACACTTGAGAATAACACATGGAGAAGAAACTGAAAGAAATACTAAATGTAAAGTAAAAACTCATTAAAATTAAAATTGCCTTTATAAATCATGAATAATTCATAAAATCTCAAGAACAACATAAAAACAAGCATAAGTATTAAAGAATATAAATTCAAAAACAGCCAGCTGAAAAGTTTGACCTATTTTTAAAGTAAAATTATATTTCTAAAAAATATTTCATAGATATACATTAATCAGATAGTGGCTAAATCTAGTTCAGAGCACTGAGTTAGGCTCAAATCGAGTCAATTCTCGGTTCCTCAACGGAACCTGGGTTGAAAAGGGAAAATTTTCATACCTAAATATGAAAAGCTGCCACACAATAAAATACAGGGTTGGTATTACGTCACATCATGTGGACCCTTGAAAGGCCCACAAGCACACCTTTTAATGGTTTGGATTGAACCTTGCTCATCCAAGAGTCCAAAATGGATTTCGTTTTCTATTTTTTATTTTTGTTTAAAAAGATATTAATCTGAAATTTCGGTTTCAGGTAGAATAAAATTAATTAAAACATATTTTGAATAAAAATACTGACCAAAATAAATTTAGAAGTATTTTGGTCATTTTTTATTCAAAATATTTTTTAATCATTTTTATTTCCTTATATTTATAAAACTAAACCTCCATTCCAAAATTCCGATGAGTATCTTATTTAAATAAAAAATAAAAAACAAAATACCACACTAATTTTCAGCCGTTGGATACGGCCATATGAGATATCAACCATTAGAAGGGTGCCTAAAATACACAGCAAAAAGTAAATAGTATAGCACGATGAGCTGAGAATGGCCTGCGGGCTTAGTGAGGTCTCTCACTCCATTATCACCACCAAAAAAAAAAAAATAGGTCCCAAATCCCTACTAACTTACCAATTTTAAATTACCCAAAAAAAAAATAGCATGATGTGTTTATACTTACAGCTTCCTCCATATGCAATTTGAAGAATGGAAAAGAAAAGACCATGATTGAGTTTGTTATGCAATTCTCAGGTGGGTTTAAAGAGCGAGCAGGCGCTGCCTGTAGGAAGCAGCGGACTTTTGTGGAGGCATGCAAAATGAGAGTGTGGGCGGGCAATTCCGCAGACAGTTATCGCCGACGCTCCCCGTGAGCGTCCCAGAAAACTTAAAGAAAGCAGGGGGCACATTGCCTTGCAAAAAATTGGAATCAAGGTACATCCTCCTCACCCGCCCTTCGGCCACCATCTGCCCATATTCCCGGGGCAGCGGCCCCCAGAACTGATTGTGCCTGAGTGACAGAGCCGCCAGCAGTGGCAGCAGCGAGAAATTGGTCGGCAGGAGCCCCTGCAGCCTGTTGTAGCTGAGATCCACTGCCACCAATGTCGACGACTTCCACACCTCTAATGCAGACAACTTGTTGTTTGAGAGGTTAATTTGCTGTAGAGCTGGAAGGGCGAAGAGCCACCCTCCCAATTTGCCATTGAGTTGGTTGTCACTGAGCTCAAGGACTGCTAGGTGCTCCAAGGAGCTGAAGACCCTGCGAAATAGAGCACCCGTCAGAAGATTGCCCTTGACAGCGAGCACCACGAGGTTCGAGGGGAGGTCGGGGAGGGCGCCGGAGAGAGCATTGAAGCTGAGATCAAGATGGTTGAGGCTGGACATGAGGTGCAGCGCGATGGGGATTCGTCCACGGAATTGGTTTTGGGAGAGGTCAAGGGATTGGAGGGAAGTGAGGTTAGGAAGGGAGGGAGGGAGTGGGCCTGAGAGGGAATTGGTGGAGAGGGCGAGGGTAGTGAGGCTGGGCAATGAGGCGAGGGAGGGGGGAATTGGGCCTCGAAATGAGTTGGAAGAGAGGTCGAGGAGGGTAAGGGCCGTGAGGTCAGCAAGGCGAGGGGTGATGGGGCCAGCGTAGCCGGCAGAGTCAAGGGCAAGAGCGGTGACTCGGGCTGCAGAGCTTGTGGTGGAATTGTCGCAGGTGATGCCGCAGATGAAGTGGGTCCGACGAGGCGTGTCGCAGGGGTCGACAGAGGAGAAGTCCCAGGATGCTAGGCAGGACCAGGAGGGGATAGACGCTGAATCAATGGCCGCTTTAAATGCAACCAGAGCTCGAATGTCGGAATCTAGGGTTTTTTTGGCAGCAGTGGATGCAACGAGTAGGTAGAGGAAGACAAGCTTTACAGCTCTAGTGTGCATTCTTACGATTGGGAGGAGGGAGAGGAGGCGGAGGAAATGAAAATTTCGATTTTCTAGGACGTTGTGTGGGCGTGAAGTAGAGGCTTTTGGGTGTGGCTTTAATGGGGTTTCGAGTGGTTGTTATTGGAGAAGGAAGGCGTATAATGGGGTGGGTTTGGTGGTGAAAATGATCGGGGGAGCAAAGATTCCCCACTCTCTCCCGCCGAGCCCACCTTAGACCCTGCTGAAAACTGGATGTACTGCAATGCAATTACTTGTTTCACACACTATAATAATGGGGACCCGGTTTCTATGCGTATGCATATGTAAACATGTGGGCCTATTACTAAATTTATTTTTGGATGGATTTTAAGGCTAAATTTTTAAGGATATGTAATATGTAACATAAAGATAATGAATATGAAAAAATATATAATCTTTAAAAACTAAAAATATAATTCTAGAAAGAAAACAATTGGACTGTTAGTTTCCATTGTTTTTAGATAGGACACGTACTTGCAAGATGGATACTTTACACTTTCTAGACCGTATGTGTAGAACTGCGGTCCAGTAGGCAAGAAACAATTTTCTTAATAATAATAAGGGATTATCTACCAAGAAACTATTTATTTTTTGTACATAAGTTCACAATCATTCCCACTCATTAGATGTCAAGTTGGATAATAAGGACGTCCAATAATTTTTTTTTAAAACAAAAACTTTGTGTCTATTTAATGACACTCTTAGAATTACCCATTTTGAAATTTATGAGACAATAATAATTGTGACCTCTACATACAAAAAATAAATGGTCTCTTTGTAGACAATCCCTAATAATAATTAGAAAAATTATAGATATTCTCGTGACCATACTTTATCGAGATGCATCCCTCAATATTTTTGATATCACATCACTAACCACAAAACAAATTTTTTCTGTAACCACCCTTGAAGACAAAGACTAATGTATTTTAAAATGAAATAATGCTCCTTGCCTCACCTCTCTCGGGTTTCTTAAATGATGCCGGTTCATCACAATGTGCATCAGACTGCCATAATTTAAATAATGTGTTTGTTCAACACACAATGTGACAGTCTCGTTTCACTTCTCAAAAATAAAGCCGATCCGATAAAATGTGTGTCAGACTGACACATTAATCAAAACGAATCCAGTTTGTCAAATTTGTGTTGGTCTGGATTTATTTTTAAAAATGATGCTGGTTCGGAACAACGGCAAAATATATGGCAGATTGGGATATTGTTTAAAATAAAGCTGGTTTGGTACACATTATGTGATACAGCCATACCCCTTCGTGACTCAGCCAAAGAAGGGTCGCAGAACCCAAGAGGGAAAGAAAGGGCAATGACGTAATAAGGAGAAATTATTAGGGTTATTTATTAAGATTATTTTAATTATTGTTTTGTTTAGGGAGTGTGGGATAATTAGCAGGGCGACTTTAGAGTTTATATTGTATTTATCTTGTATCGATTGGGTTAGTTTGAGGGATATAATTAGGATAAGGGTAAATTTAGAAGAGAGTTTATCTTTATCAACAATAACGAACTTGGGAGGTTTTTTTTTGGTAAAGCATGAGTGGGAAAACGTGGGTATCTAGAATCCCATGAATATGAGAGAGAGAAAATAGGGATAGGTGTAGAGAGAAGTTTTTTATTAGTTATCTTATGTTAATATATTTAAAGGGACATTTCCTTTCATTATAAATCAGTATATGAATTGAATAAAAATTGGTCTCCTGAAAGATATTACTTTGGGGGTGGATTCCCTTGCAGACTTTTGAGAGAGGGTATTTTTATCTTTACCTTCCTTCTTTTTATTGTCAATTTTCTGGTTTTATTTTCTCATTGCATCAATTGATGCAGTGGACCTCGCTTTTCCTCAGGCTAAGTTTGCTTACAATAGTTCAATAAATTGATCTACATGAAAATCACCATTTAAGATTGTTAATGGGCGGACGCCTAATCATGTGTTGAACCTTGTGCCATTACCCATGCCAAGCAAGATAAGTGATGATGACAATGCTTTTGCTGAGCATATTCGAGATTTGTAAGCCCAAATCAAGAAGAAAATTGAGGAGAGCAATGCAAAATCTCAAAAAGCCTCAAATAAGTCTAGAAGAGAGAAGATTTTGAAGGAAGGTGACTTAGTAATGGTGTATTTGTGAAAGTAAAGATTTCCATTGGGAACCTATAATAAACTCAAGTCCAGGAAAGTGAGTCCTTGCCACATTTTGAAGCAATATGGGAATAATGCATATAAGGTAGAATTACCAAAGGCATTGGATATCTCCCCGATATTTAATGTTGCTGAATTATTTAAGTTTCTTGGAGACCCTCTAGAAGTCACAGAAGATGTAGTCGATATGATGAAGAAATTACCAAGGAAGAAAGATGATGAAATTGAGCAAGTTTTGAAGACTGAAGGCTTTCAAACTCGAACGGGTTCCTATCGCCAATTTCTAGTCAAATGGAAGGGCAAGTCATACTCTGATAGCACGTGGATTTCTGAGCCAGAGTTCAAAAAAGTGGATCCAGACTTATATCTCATATATACTGAATCCAACTCACCGAAGTCGAGTTCCTTTCAATTGGGAGGAACGATGCAGCCATGCCCCTTCGTGACTGGGCCAAAGAAGGGTCACAGAACCCAAGAGCAAAAGAAAGGGCAATGCCGTAATAAGGAGAAATTATTGGGGTTATTTATTAAGATTATTTTAATTATTCTTTTGTTTAGGGAGTACAGGATAATTAGCAGGGCGACTTTAGAGTTTATATTGTGTTTATCTTGTATCGATTGGGTTAGTTTGAGGGATATTATTAGGATAAGGGTAAATTTCGAAGAGAGTTTATCTTTATCAACAATAACCAACTTTGAAGGTTTTTTTTGGTAAAACATGAGAGGGAAAATGTGGCTATCTAGAAGCCCATGAATATGAGGTAGAGAAAATAGGGATAGGTGTAGAGAGAAGATTTTTATTAGTTATCTTATTTTAATCTATTTAAAGGGGCATCTCATTTCTTTGTAAATCAGTCTATGAATTGAATAAAAATTGGTCTCTTGAAATAGATTGTTTTTGGGGTGGATTCCCTTGCAGACCTTCAAGAGAGGGTATTTTTATCTTAACCTTCTTTCTTTTTATTGTTTATTTTCTAGTTTTATTCTCTTCCTGCATCATTATGTCCAACCAGTTTGATTTTTGTCTTGAGAAAATGTGTTGCATTCGGTGCACCTTGGAAGGTCGTGCAAAAATAAAACGTTTGGAGTGTTGGGGGTATGATTTACATAGTAATAGGGGAGCACGCCTAGAAAGCAAGGTTAAGGAAATATCTATATTTTTTCTTAAAAATAGTAATAAGATTGTGTGAGCGCATTTTTCAGTACCTTGGTCCCCGATGCGGAATAAAGGAGAAACTGGTAAATAAAGCCTTGACTTACAATGGAATTTTTGACAAGTCGCAAAATTACCCTAAAACGGGTGAAAATGTTCCTAAGGACTTCAAAAGGCTATCTGCCATGTTTCGTCACAATCTGACATGTCTATGCGGACAAAGAAACAGTTTCAGAAAAATCAGCCTCTAGCACCCTGAAACGGCCCTGTAACTGGAACCCTATTTTCGAAGCATTAGATGGCTGCGGGGGACCACCGCTATTGGATCTGACATGGTCGAAAACCTCTAGGGGTTAAATTTCGTCTTAAACAAATGTTTCAAGACAAAGTTACGGGTAAAAGACGGTAAAAGCAGAGGCCGCACGCTATTTCTGTGTGCCCTTCCTGCACTAATCTCCATTAAAGGATATTGGTTTTCACAGTCATGACCAGCAACTTTGAAGACTCATATCTCTCTCGTTTCGAGTCAGATCGCTCTCAAATCTTGTGAGCATGTTCGTCTCGTCAAGACGAGCATTTTGATTTGTGGCAAGTCTCGTAACAATGTTCGAGCAGGCAGAAAAACTAGAGAGAAGATGACGATTCGTGATCAAGGTTGCAAAAAAATCAACAGTAGCACAACCCACTCAAGCGGCCATATCACAGCACTTGCGTAACCGATTCGACTCAAAACCAATTGCATTGAGTGCATAAGGTCCAGGTTATGTCTGGTCCAAACCCTGCACGTGATGAACGGTTATATATGGTGTATGAAGCTGTTAAATTTGCTGCAGAATTCTAGCCGTCGGAATCCAAATTCCAGCCAAAAACCCAAAATACTAAAATCTTCGTTCGGGCATAAAATTGAGTTGCGTTTGTTGCAACATGATCGTGACGACATGCTCAGTGCAATTCAGCAAAGAAACCAAGCAAATACATTAAGAAAGAAGCGCACTATTGATCGAAAATTTCCAAGATTCGTGAAAATTTCAAGTCGCATGATTGTGGCCCAAAAACACGATCCGTTGCTCGAAGTTAGTATCAAATTGATCATCATGCCGAGCCCAACAAGAAAGTGATCATCTTTTGGTCAAACAGGCGCCAGAGCAACCCCGAATCGACGTTGGAAAATTGCACATGTTCCATGGGTACAGTAGAGACTGTTTTTAAATTTCGTGTATTGACTGGTAGGGAAAAATCATAATTTTGCCTCCATTTTTAGATTTTTCTTTAATTTAAATAAATTATAATTATCATCAATTGGATTAGATTTTAGGTATGCACTCATGTTTTGGGCCCATGTCTATAAATACATGCTATGCTTCATTGTAAAGGGACTCAACTTCATGAATGAACATTGAGAATTTTAATCTTGAGATTGTGACATGCCTTGGAGAGAGAGAGGAGAGAAAAGAAAAATTTTGGTGCCCTTGGATGAAGGTAATTCTCTCTCCTCTTTCCTCTCTTCTTTCTTTCTCTCTTCTTATTCTTTCTCTTTCCTCTTTCCTCTCTTCTTTTTTCTCTCTTCCTCTTTCTTTTTTTCTCTCTCCTCTGTTCTCTTCCCTATTTTCTCTCTCCTCTTCTTTCTTTCTCTCTCCTCTTTTTCTTCTCTGTCTCTCTCCTCTTCTTCTTCTATATCTCTCTTTTCTCTACTTCAAACATGCACGACAGTAAGCATCGCCTTGCATGTCTCTCTCTCTCTCTTCTCTCTGAACATGCACAGCCGTAGGCATCATCCTGCATGTCTCGCTTTCCCATCTTTCCTCTTTTCTCTTTGCTCTCTTTCCTCTCTCATTCCCCCTCTTTCTTAATCCTTTCTCTTTTTCCTAAGCTCTTCTTTCCTTTACTCTCTCTCTACTTTCCCTTCTTTCTCTGCTTTCT